GATCACATTAATAGCTGAAGCAAAAACAGGACTATCTTGAAAAGAACAGATGCTTTAAACTGGTCAAACTCCACTGATAGCATCCAACTTGTTACGTTTTGTTTGGCACAAAATTTTGACTAAAAGCACAAGCACAGCTTTTAGTCAAAGATGCAAAGCTTGCATTTTTAGAACTACATCTACATAAGCTTTAACTTCACCAAGAAAACATGGCTGAATAAAAACACCTAACAGTGACCTTGCAATATTGGGCACATCTAAAACAAGACTACTTTCCAACAGGGATGTCTAATGACATCACTGCCTGCAGAAAAGGCCCTTCCCCCCTCCATGATTTGCTCTTTCAAGAGCAATATATTCAAGACAGACACATATAAAGTATGAGAATTAAACCTTGCAGAATCCAGAATCTGGGAAAGCCAGCTGACCTTGGAAAGCTGAGTGTCCATGAAACTAAAACAATTATTAGTCTCTTGAAATGGAATGCCATTTTCACATTAACTCTCAATTCACTAAATGCCAAAATTCAGCCCTGCATCCTAATCAGCAGCTGCTTAATCATTTTTACATTTTTTAATTGAGATTTTCCAGCAAGTGTAGGAGTTTGAAAATGAAAAGTTGAAACAAGACATATTTGCAGCTCTCTAATTTCAAAGTTCTCTGGATGAAGCACAACTCACCATCCAGCTGCATATTCAGAGACATTCAAGCAGCAAATGAACAGGAACTTTCCCTTCTGGTCTCCTACAGCCACACAACCAGAGTGAAAGGAGAAGGAATATGCCGTAGTCCAAAAGAGCTATAAGCCGGCTTGCTCAGCTCTTTGGAAGAAATAGCGTAAGATTTACTTTAAGCAATTTTTCCCTGAGTTTTCTAGAAAGTAACACAAAGTTACAGATTCCACAACTAACACACATTCACGCTTGATGCACTGGTTCAATCTAGACACAAAGATCAGTAAGTTTGAAAAGCAGTAAACAAACTTTGTAATTTTTTTCAGGCTAGGTCAAAAGTACCCAGTCAAATTTTTATTTCTTTTTAAGTCAAAAATGCATTTAATCACCCAGACAAGGTGGTGCATCGCTCTGCACTGAACAACCAAGAAGCATTAACAAAGGATATTCACTTTAGGATAGCAACCCAAAGTTGCTTCTTAAGACATCATTTTATTCTTTGAAGGATGGTATTTGCAAGTCCAGACTTGGAAGCCCTGCGTATTTTTATTCAAGCATTTCAAGAGAAATGTCCCCAACCACTGTGTACCTTTGATGGTCACTAAACAAAACAAAACCCTTTATTATTTACCACGTCATTCATCAGCTGCATATAAGCATCAGCATACTACAAATATACAGCAAAAGGACCGTTCAGTTTAAAAGCTGTATATAAATCCACTAGCTAATAAGCATTCTGTTGCCAATTTATTTCCAGTGCTACCGAATTGACAGAACAAATGAATAAAATCTGTAAAGTACTTGACTAGACCTGTACAGACTAAGGGGGTTTTTTTAAGCTACAAATAGTAAAGATTTCCAACACGAACATTTTAGAAGGTTCCACACATCAAGCGCACGCAGAGTACTTAAAGGGACAAAAAACATCTCATCAAGCACATATGCAAGAGCATGTCAACACTGGTCATTCAACTAGGTCACTGTGCTGGGAAAAGAGAAGCCTTCGCAGTCCCAACAAGAAACAGCTATGCAGGCATTGGCAAACAAAAACAAAAATGAAGCTGGAGTGAAAATTGCCAGGTAGATGCCAGAACCATTTTGCTCTTCAGAACAAAACCTTAGTTCAATGAACATGGCAAATGTAAACCAAAATGTGACAAGGTATTTTTATGACTATGTGAACAAGGCACAGGCAAACAAGTCATGTACTGAACTGAAACAGTCATATATATGAAAAATGTGAACAGATCTAGAAACTTCCATAGAAAGATGTAACTTTGAAAAAGACCTTAATATACTTCAAAGACTCAGCTGAATGCAGGCTTGAAGTGCAAATGTACTGTCGATGTACTATGTTGGTCTATAAATTTCAAAATATATTCAAAAACACACTTTAAGGTAAAATAGGTAACTTGTATATAAGAACTGGTAATTTGTACAAAAGAAAATACAGGAAACAAAGCTCTTCAAGATAAAAATCAGAAGACAGAAAGTGAAGCTAGACAAACTCAGACTAGGGAGGCACAAAAAGTTTAACAGGGAAATTAATTAGACACTGCAATAAGTAACGTACAGAATTTACCAAGAAATAAGTTGGAATCTCTGTCACTGAAATAACTTCACATACATTTGGCAATTCTCCCAAAATTGCCTCCTAATTCCAAACAGTTATCAGTGCAAGAAGCTCCAGACAGATGTGTCAATCACAACTATTCCTTTTGGCCTTACTAGAAGAGACTTTATTTTCTTAAATTGTCACAGTAGTAGACAATAAGGAACATTCAGCTTCTAATAAAGAAGCTATATGCTCAAGACACCAAAATAGTAGGTGATTCCTTAGTCCACTTAACATACAAATAATCACTTATAGATAAAAAATATACACTGCCTTTGATAAAACATTATAGTACGTGAAAACACACAACAATTCTTTTCATTTTTTTATGTCAATTTACTTTATAAAATCATACTCTGCATGTAACAGGATTCCTTTTTCTATAAACACATCAGCATCAGTTATAATTTTAAGACGATAATGAGCCATTTTGACTTAATCTTCACTTTAACACATTAAGACCAATAAAAGGAAGTTGGAATTACTCCCTCCCCAAATTATTCAACCCGCGGACCCTCACACAGTGTAACAGTGCTGACACCTGCCGGCCAGGGCGCGCTGTGCAGCCACAGCGAGAAGGAATTTCGGATGGAATAAGATTTTGTGTTGTAGTACACAAAAAACACGGTATGCTGGCCTCATGATTGAGATGTTTGGCATCTAATTATATTGGTTTGACGTATTAAGAGTTGATTTGGTGAAATACACAGGGAAAAAATAGCTGCTCTATGAGCTCCTCGTCAGGTGCTGCTCAGCCAGAGGCTGTTAAAATCGATGGTTGAGGACTTTAAATCATCAGTGTTAATGACTGTAACATCCAATTTACAGAACTGATGCCAAGGACCTATCGAAATATTAAAAGCTTGGCAAATTATTCAGAGACACTCAGGAAAGCCAAAAAACAGTCTTCTGTGTATGCAGTTTCCAGTCAATAGCTAAACCAGTTTCTTCTATGCTGCTTAACGTGAGGAGATTGTTATAGCGTTGATTAGAGAGTAATTTAAAAATATTTTCCCACAAGGCAGTACAGTTAAGGCCCCAAAATAAAATCCCTCAAAGCACGTCTCAACTGCCAAATACCACCCCCCATCTCTGCTCTGCCTGCACTCCTCAGTGAAACACTCACCTCCCTAACAGAATCACCTACTCAAGAGAACAGAGACATCAGCAGCCTTAGCCACTGAACGGTAAAGTCAGTTTTGAGACCCTTAAATTTAGGGTGTATTTATGTCAATACTAATAACTCATACATTCAAAGAACAAAATGGAGACAGGTGATACAACAAAACAAATATGAAGATGATTAAAAGTTGGAATAAGAGTGACTGAAGAGGTTGCACAAGGTCTATTCCATTCATAAAAAATAAACGCCCTGCTAGCTTGTAGGTCTCAGCAATGGAGGCCAAAACACCAGCTAACAGCTTTTACAGTCTGCACCATAACCCCAGATCAACATCATTTGGCCTCAGCAAACATATGGAAAAAACATGAATGTCAATCTCGATCCTTTCTCTGAAAAAAATGTCCTGGGACAAAGAAGTTAATCAGTTCAGAAAAAAAACACAAGCACCAATTGGATACAAAACCTTCCAAGTTTTACAAGTGATTCTAGAAAAAGTGACAGAAGAGTACAAAAGTCATGGCATGAAACAATTCTAGGATGCAGGCCACAAAATGAAGGTTATTATTCCATCAGGAGACAATGTCTACTTACATGGGATGATTGTGATGCACCAAATAATTTATCAAGATGAGGAGTCTGGGGCAGGGAGTGGTAAAGAGGTTTTACTTTATATATAGGTTAGCCAACAGCTGAGGAAATGAAGAAGTGGATACTGAAACTCAGTCATAATGCAAATTACATATCTGAATTAACAAAAACCAAAAATGTGAATAAATATTTGTGTGTTTTGTTTTGAGCTAGGATTAACAATCATCTTCTATTCTGAAGAAAGGAGGTGAAATTTTTTCTGATGCAGTCAAGCTTAAAAGTCTTAACAAGTTCCAAAGTCTTAAAAAATTATTTGTTTCCTTGGGTAAAGTATTTCCAAGTTATTCCTGTATTTTCAATGTATCAAAGCTGAGATAAACAGAAAGGTAAGTCAACACCGTAACAGATTCTCAGGACTACATTTGTCCCTTTTCAACAGTAGTCAGTATAGTAACGTTAAGCCTAAACTGGTAACTAAAAATGTTACATCAAAATCACTATTTTGACAGAACACAGCAATCAGTGCCCTTACTTTAATTTCCTATTTTATGTGAATATTAGAAGCTTTAAAGGGTAAAAATTAATCCTGCTTTTTGGTCCACTGGTTCCAAAGAAGTAACCTTTATTTCACACTGAGTATCGTGGCAAGCAGAGGCAATCTGCTTGATCCACTGCATCACAGCAATAACCCCGAACTCCAGGCATAACCAATGCCAAAAACAAGCTCGTACCTTAAATCACCTTTAATTATAACAACTTTTATCGAGACTTAACTACATAAGCAATATCACACCAAGAGCCCTGGCTGCTATTTGGGAAATTAAGTACTGCTCTGTAACATTTGAAGGAGGACAGTTAGAGGTTTCTGTGAGAATCAGTCTCGCAGAACAGGAATGAACTTAAATACCTCAAAAAAAGCACTGGAACAGTTTCTTTCAGATTAGCAACTACATTTATACTTTTGGAACTTGTAAAAACCTGTGAGGGAGCTGTCACTTACTCTGTGTGGCCCTGAAAGACATTCACGGAATGGATAGAAGGATCTCTGAAATCCCACAGACGGAAGGTTGTGTCGCGTGATGATGTCACCACAAGACGCTGGGTGGGATGTGTACAACAATGCGTGAGCTCCTGGTCGTGCCCTACAACCACAGATGACAACATGTAAGGCAATGAAAATAAGACTTTTCATTTCCACATACACCTGGAATGAAATGCTGATGATTATTTTCTTTTTTTCCCCAAACTGAGAAGAATAGTGATCATTCTGAACTTTAATGTTACTACCGGTGTAAAAGTTTGGGACTGTATTCAAAGGCAAAAAAACACACTACTCATTTCACACCAAGTAATGCAGGCTATTGCTGCTTTATACGCCCTGAACACAGCAAAAGCATTTTGCAAGAACTAGAATTTGGGTACATTCAGTTTAAAAACAACTACTTTCATTGGTTAAATCACTAGCTTAAAGAGAAGACAAATTCATGCTCAGGGGATTTACAAGGTGGTAATTTTAGAAACTACTACAGCATTGAGCAGCAGCTTCAGTCTTGTACACACTCGTGTTGTGGTCCAGAGAAACAAATTACTTTCCCAATGTTTTCGCATCTACAAATAATCCCACATATAAAAACAAACTGCCAATTTAATTTTTTGTGAGTGAACAAATACCTGTAAGAGAATGGACAAGTTCAGAAGTCTCTACATCATACAGATTTGCTGTCCTATCCCACGATGCTGTCACAGCCTGCTTCCCCCCAACCAGCCAGTCAGCTGCTATGACCACTCCTTGATGGCTTTTCAGGGAAGTTAACGGCGCTCTGACAGTGGGGCAATCACTGGAACCATCCCCATCTCCATCAGGTTCATCTTTATCTGAGAACTCAACTTCGTCTTCTCCAGTCACTTGCTATAAAATACAAGAGAAAAAAAGGTTTACTACAGAAGGGAAGGAATGTCTCAAAGTCACATTTTGCAGCGTAAATGCTTCCCAATCCCCTCAATGAGAATGTGTGTAACTTAATTCTGCAGCACCTGGCCTACTCACTATCACAAACTTAGTTGAAGGAATACAACCAGTGAGTTAATTGCAGTTTTAATAACTCCATTAACAATTTCATGAGGAGCAGCTGAGGGAAATAGGTTGTTCAGGCTGGAGAAAAGGAGGCTTAAGGGAGACCTTATTGCTCTCTACAGCCACATGAAAGGAGGCTGGAGCAAGGTGGGAGTCAGCCTCTTCTCCCAAGTAACAAGCAACAGAATAAAAGGAAATGCAGCAAGGAGAGGTTTAGATTGGCTGTTGGGAAAAATTTCTTCACCAAAAGGTTGTCAAGCACTGGACCAGGTAGCTCAGGGAAGTGTGGAGTGACCATCCCCAAAGGTGTTTAAAAGATATGTAGATGTGTCATTTAAGGACATGGTTTAGTGGTGGACTTGGCAGTGCTGGGTCAACAGCTGGACTTGATGATCTTAGGAGGGTTTTTTTTCCAATCTAAATGAATCTACAATTCTGCTTCATTTTAAAATCTCCTCTGAACTCTTTAGCTCTGAGTATCTGTCCCCTTTACTATCTGGTAAGGTTTTTTTATATTCCCTTACTGTATTACCCTAGAGTTTCATTGCAGCATATTTATCAAGGGACTTCTTTCCTTTCAATTTTTAAGGACAGGAAGCATCTAACAGGACACTGACTATTTTAACCTTCAGGAAGACAGTCATTTACAGACATATTTTCATCCATTAAAATCAAATCATTACATCAATATTTGCCTGTTGGTCAATACATAGTCATCATGTAGTGCTGATGTAAACTGGATGCAAAATAAATTCTTTTGTCAACCATGAAACATCAGTCTCTGAACCTCTTTTTCATTTACATAAGACAAAACCATTTTTCTTTTATGTTATATGGATGTGAAAAAGATAACATTTCTACTGTTCTTTCAAAATGGGAAATGCCAAATCAAATAAACTGAATCAAATATTTTCCATTCAGAAATTTGTCTTATATGATACAGCCATCTCTTTGCCCCTGTTTAGCTTACTGAGAAGCTCATGCTATAACCTCTGTTTGTCTTCAATATAGCTAATACAGGTGCCTCAGTAAGTAAAGCTACAAGAATTTAACTAGTTTAAAAAGAACTTCATTATTTATAATTTGAATTATTGCCAAAAAAAATTACTCATCTTCATTTACTTACACATTTACTACCTTGAAAAAAATAGTCAACTAATGCACTTGCAGCTGCAAATTCTATTCTGCACCACACACCTTTGAAAATGTGAAGCAAGTCTATTTTCAAAGAAAGGATGAAATATAGCTGTTAAACTAAAACCTTAAAATCCCACCTTTGGCAATCCTCAAGTCATGTAATTTTTTAATTATATGTAAATTTAACATTCAGTCTTATCACAGAACCTGTATCTGATGAAATTGCTGTGCAATTAGTTTAGTTGCAGTAAGTTGATTGCTTACATTGCAGTCTGCAGTTGGCTGAGGTGTAGGCAACTGTACTATGTATCTCCAGATGTGAGCTGTCTGGTCTCCAGATGCTGCACAGGGGGAAGAGAGGTAAAAAAGAGAGAGAGAATAAATAAGAGCATTTCCATGGGCAATAAAAACAACCTTTAACGTTACATTTGTCAATACTGTCTGAGTTCCATTTTTTTTTAACAGATACCATTGTAAACTTTATGGTAAGCAAGTCTCGACATCAACAGTTACTCTCCTGCCTTCAATACTCATTATGAACATAATTCATTTTGAAAAATATAAATAGGTACCCAGTTAATCACTCCTACAGTGAAACACCCACTCAAATACTACACATTAGAAGACAAGTATCTGTGTTATTCCAATATGTAATATTTGAAGAAGGCATTTAATACATCACAGGTGCCATTCTTCATTTGCCATTTCTCAAAATATTGGGGTTCTTCATTCAATTATTGAGGTTCTTCATTCAATTATTTCTTCCATTAGATGTTTTTAGCAGGGTTTTAATGAGAAACCCAAAGAGCAAGCGTGAAGCTATTCTGCTTCTGCCTTGAAAAGCTCAGCTTAACTAACACCAGATTACAGCTCAGGTTTTGAAAAAGACTTACCCATTTACTAAGGAGAAACTCAAGATTTTCCTTATTATGGACAGAACAAACAAGTTCTAATACCTGGGGGTACAGTGCTGAGTGTTCTAGATTGAGAAAGACAGTTTGTAATGAGCATGCAAAGCTCTGGTAAGTGCAATGTACATGAAAGCACTAAGAAAAATAACTCATCTAACAGACCAAGAAGGCTAGAAGAAAGGTCAACCTTACATTACGTCTGATGTCACTATTCTGGATTAGGGGGAAAGGTTTTTTATTTTAATCAGTTATAAAATTAATTGTCACTGAAGAACAAGACGCCTGAAAACTTGCAATTGAAATACTTTGCAGAACCATCTCTCAAAAAAATAATGAAAGAACAAAAACCCTATCTACAGGCATCTTTTGTTTGTTTAGTTTGGTTTTCACAAGTCAGTTTACACAACAACATTGCTTATGGTACTGAAACAAGGGCTAAGGTTAGCAAACGGAAGCAGGAAAATCCAAATAAACTTAAATCATTAGCCTACATAGAAGGCCTGATGCTCCCTATGTTCCTTTTAAGTGATGAGTGCAGACGCAGAAAGCAGAAGTGTTTTCATTTCTAACCTCAGTAATAATTATCCTCATTTTACAATGACTTACCTAGTAGCAGCAAACTCAATCCAGACCTCTTTCATTCCAAAGCTAGTGGCCTAACTGCTGAACTATATGAATCACAGCATCAGGCACATCAGAGAGTTTTCAAACCTGAAGCTGCACTGATGGTACACTCAGGCCTGAAAACACCTTTACACTAACAATCATATTTTCACACTGCTTTTTCTGCACACTCAGTAGCACAATATTCTTTTCCTTTACTTCTAGGAATATCATGTATGGATATAGATAGATAGAACAGACTATTTCAGTTGGAAGGGACGTACAACCATCATCCAGTCCAACTCCCTGACCACTACAGGCCTGACCAAAAGTTAAAGAATGTTGTTAAGGGCATTGTCCAAATGATAGCCTCTCTAGAAAGCCTGTTCCAGTGCTTGGCCACCCTCTTGGTAAAGAAATCCTTCCTAATGTCCAGTCTAACCCTCCCCAGCACAGCCTTGAACCATTCCTGTGCATCCCATCGCTGGATCCCAGGGAGAAGAGTTCAGCAGCTCCATTTCCAATTCCTTTCCTCAGGAAGCTGTAGAGAGCAACGTCCTTAGCTGCTCCTCACAGGACATGCCTTCCAGCCCTTTCACCAGCTTTGCTGGTCTCTTCTGGATGCATTCAAGGACCTTCACATCCTTCTTAAATTGCAGGGCCCAGAACTGCACACAGTTCTCCAGAAGAGGCCGCACCAACACTGAATACAGCAGGACAAGCACCTCTTTTGTCCACCTGCTTGTGCTGTGTTTGATGCATCCCAGGATGAGCTTTGCCCTCTGGGCTGCCCAGGCACACTGCAGGCACATCAAGCCTGCTGTCAACCAGCACCTCCAGAGCCCTTTCTGCAGGGCTGCTCTCCAGCCACTCCTGTCCCAATTTATACGTGTGCTCAATGTTACTCTGTCATAGGTGCAGAATCCAGCATTTGAACTTGTTAAATTTCAACCCATTAACCACTGCCCAATGCTCCCACCTACACAGATGCTGGCAAATCACACTTATTTTTTACAATAATTACAATAATCAGCATATGAAAAAATTTTACATACCTGTAAGAGCCACTTGCTCAGTGGGATGAAACTTTATGGAGTTTACTGTGTGAAACAAAGTAAATTTTAAAGTTAGCATACAAAAAGAATTCTTTCACCATGTTTTGTTTTAAAAGCATTGAAAAATCAAGTCGTCTTGAGTAATTTTTATAGCAATAACTTAGGGGAGATAAAGGTGTAGCATCAAAGAAAGCGGCTATAGTTGATTATACAACAATACATATTTTCTAGAAAATTATTTCCTGAATCTAGTACAAATGGTTCATGTTAGAGAGGATAAAGAAACCACATTCAAATAATCATAAGTGAGCTGACAGCACATAATGCTCTCGACTTCCATAAAGAGAATTCAAGTATTCATAGTTATTTCTAACTTAATGAAAAATGATTATATATAACCATCAACGTTCTGATTATTACTTAGGATTGCAAGCTAAATGCCTGAAAACCTGATGCAAATAATACAAATCAGATTTCAGTCCTGCAACCATATGTAATCAAAATATGATGGACTTAAAATAGTCCTGCAAGAATTCTATCAACCTACAAAGCTCTTCATTTTTATTTCAGTGCATAAAATTCAATTCAAGAAAGAACTCTGAAATTATTTCCATCCATCATACAAGTGAAACAGATGCTTATGTTGTTGGGAGAGTGTGGTGTAATAAGTCTGAGACGATACTTCTTAAATTGAACTAATCAACAGTGCATCAACTCCTGGTACCTTTGCATCATTTCAAATCAACTGTCAAACAAGAAAAGTTTTATTAAATTAAAAATATATTATTTCTAATGTAATTTTTATATGTATGTAATTATATAAAATCTATATACAGCATAATTTACAATTTTTTTGTTTCAACGCAGTTGTTTAAATACAGGTTAGAACTTACTATTTTCATGGTTATCCAAATAGCAATTTTAAAAGAAAACTGTCAGTATGACAGTGCAAGTGATTGAAGTTTTTAAACATGACTTTATAGAAGCTGAAGGTCCATGCAGCAAGCAACCTGAGATATCTGAACAAATTAAAGTGTTGCCAGTTGTTTATCTGCATCTTTGTGCTGTAGGAACTAGAAGTCATATAGAAGGAAGAAAAAGTAGAATTAATGGCTGAAGCAACTGACCAGTCCCTGGAGAACTTAATTCTATTTGTATCCTTGCCACAAGGTTCATGTAATGTGCTATTTAACCAAACATTCCTGGTCAATAACTGCATTTCTCATCTTCAGGGTGCATGACTCTCCACTCAAAGTGCTCGATTCTCAACAGCAAGTTAAAGGTAAGGAAAACCTCTCCAATTTTGGTCTATAAAATTCTACATTGTAACCCATTATGAGAGAGAAGAAGGCTAATCGGGTGCTTGTCAAATTGGACACCAAAATTTAAGATTAACAGAAAAAGCACTCATTGCACTGCACCTTTCCACCCAAAGAGGGGTTAAAAAAAAATTTCTGAAATAATCATACTGGGATAAAGGAAGACAAATGCCAATACATAACTGTCTTCAAAACAAGATGACAATCTAATATTATGCAGCAAATTATACATGGGATCATGTGTTAAACAAAGAAGTGCAAATAGATATTCACGCAGCATCTGTATTTTGTATCCCAAATATGACACTTATCCTGCAAGACAGTTAATTTCTGGTTACATAAGATTCTCTTGTTTTGCATATGCATGAGATCTCAATGAGTCCTGACATTTAACTTCTGAGTGTCGTAACTGTGCCTGTAAATTTCTTTATATGGAGCTGTTTATTCATTTAGCATTTGCAGAACTGCCTTAATGTGCCTCTCCAAGAAAGAATCATATTGCAGAACCTTCTCTGTATGAAAATTAGTGGAACTTCACAATTGACTTGTTAATGGTGTTGGCAAACCTGCAAGTGAAACCACAATAAGCATTTCTGTAGTTGTCCAAAACCCACTTCCCCCTCCCCGTTTTCACTACATGTCCTTATCTTACCTGATCCAACATGCCCTACGTACTTGACAAGGCACTTTCCTGTTTCTATGCTCCACAGCAAAGCAGTGTGATCTACAAAGATTAAGTAGTTGTAAATAGTTACAAATGTGTGTTTTTAATTTTTAATGCTAACAAACAAGTTATCTTTGACTGTATATAAAATATAAAAGCTTCTTATCATTATAACTTAATACATATCTCCCCCAAAAAATAAAGGTGTTGTCCTAATCAGATTGATTTGCAGAAAGTATTGAAAGGTAAATTCTACTTTTGATATTTTTCCTAACTTGGTTATATTCTTCCGTATAATGTTCCACCTGTGTATCATGAGATTCAGGAAGCACAGAGAAAGCATTCCGTGGTGGAAAAGGCAGTCACTACAAGCAAGAATTCTATGCACAATCTATTCACTTCCTGCATAGAAGTCCCAAATGCATACAGGTCACTGCAGAGCACTACAAAAATTTATTTAAAGAGGAAATCACTCCAAATGCCACACCTTTATCCTGCCGCACCCAAAAATATATAAATAATACAAGTATGCAAGTGGGAAGTACTTTAATGCTGAACTGGAGAATGGCTGTTTCCAAGTTAAATCAGGACAAAGACAAGATGTTCCCCACAAAGACAAAACGTGCCCCTCGGTGGGCACATAAAAATTCTAACAGTTCAGTTATGAAGCCAAGGTTTCTAGTCCATAATATTCAAGTCCCTGTTCCAGCTTCAGAAGACTGTCACTTCAAACTTGAGCAATTATATCTAGTTATGGTTTATTTCCATAAAAATTTTCCAAGACTACACAAGCCTCTAGATTGATTTTTGGACTATAACAGATTTAGTGACTTATTCATTAGTACTTGTTCCCCCTCAGTGGGAAGGAAGGAGTCTCGTAAAGTAAAAAGGACTGAAAATTAAGATATTTAGCTGCCCCTGTATCCTGAGGCAAAAGCCAGATGAATGCAAGAATACAAGAATATGCAAACTATGACCAAACCTAGAGCTTCTACAGAACAAAGGCTACACAGTACTAGGACAGAAAGCCTACAGGGATCTCTGTATCCAGCCCTAGGGCATTCTGTACTGCACTAGGGACCAGCTCCCATCCCACCCACTCACACCATCCAACATGCTAGAGCTGACTAAGGAGAGTGTGACCTGCATGGAAGTTAACTGGCACATACTTTAGAAAGATCAACAAGGATGCTTGAACTTTCTACAGGTTAAATGCATTTCAAGGAAATTCCAATTTTAAGAAATTTTCAGCTACAGAACTTCTTTAAGAGGACTCTTTCAGTGTGGAGCTCAGTATTCAAGTATGCTTTGGATCTGTATTTACTACAGCTTAGGGACTAAATCAGATTTTTCTACATATTCAAGCAACACAAAACTTTACCAGCAGATGCAGTTCCCAACACCACTGGCTGAGTTTTCGCGACACTGACATCCCAAATACCATCCCTGTGGCCAACATATTCCTTTACCAGTTGACAGATTGCCCTTGATGTTGTAGTTTTAAAACTGGATACAATCTGAAATAGCAGAGAGACCAACATTTTTTTAGCACACGGACCCAAGATTAAGTAATTATCTCACAAATACAAATAGACATTAACTTTTTCATGATTCTTTAATGTTTTGACAGTTCACTTTTGTCAAAAATTTCACCTTTGATCGTAGAAGAGTGAGTCTGGATGCAAGCATATATCTTAATTTTTTTTTCATTTTTAATAATACTCCCCCCTTTCAGAATGCAAGACAAACTATTCTGTACTATAATAATGCAATTGGAGAAATGAATTGTACAAGGGCAGAGTGCACTTCCCATTCAGTCTGGGTAAGGACTATAATGAAAAACAAAAAAAGACCAAACCCTGCAAAAGACCTTAAAACTTTCTTTGCCTATTCCCAAAGAAGCACATTTGATAAATTAAAGACAGACCATGCTACCCTGTGTAATGTCTTTGGAAAAAAAATACACTTATTACTTAATTCTAGTAAAATCCAGAACACTCACAGCTGTTTTTCTTTAAAACTGCATGAAGCTAATCAAACCAAACATTAACCTGAGAGCATATGCCTGTTTACTTATGTAATAAAACTTATTTTAAAAATATATGTCAAACTCATCTAAACATTTGATAAGTACACTCCCTCCTCAAAGTCAAGCTATTAGGAGAAAAGCAGAGAAGACTCATTAAATCCAAATTAGTATGTGCATAAGTAATACCAAATAAAAGGAAGAGAAGTCTAGTAAAATGGTAAAACTGCAAAGCACTACAGTACAGGAAGGCTGAAAACACTCAGTATCTACAGAAAGGAACCAAATTTCAGAAATTCTATATTTTCAGATAAAGTGGAATGCAATACTTAGGGGGAAAAAAAAAACAAACAACAAACTGGAACACTTCCAGAGACAACCGAAACCAAAAGTCATAAAAGATGACTTAAAAGTAAGAACACCATTACAAATACCCTATTTTTACCCCACAAGTCTTCAGTCTCATAACTGTTCTGTGAGAAAAACTACCCGAAAAGCTTTGTTAAACTGGAACAAAAAGACAACTTCCATTTATCGGTGTTTTTCTGTGCATGCAATTATGGGCAGGTATTTATCTGACCAGCTAAATCAAAACCTTTAAATACTTCAACACAAATCACATCAAGACTTATCTACAGCTTAGTAAAAGTTAGGAAGTTAATTAAGTCTACATTTCAGTTACAATAAAATAAGGTTAAAATCCCATTAGGTTTTGGAATTAAAATAGAAGGTCTTAAGTACATCATTAGAGCAAATTACTTCAAAAACGGTTTTTAAAGCTAAAAGAAAATCTGCAAGAGCATTCCAAATCCTGAGCAAGTCAACTCTCCAATGATGAAATGATAATGCCCTATTTGAATTCCAAATTAACAGCTAATATGCATTCTGGTTTCACAGCAGAAGAAGGAACAGTCATTAAGGAAGCATTAAAAGGAAAATGGGTTAATGATAAAGATTATTAGTTCAACGACACTGCAGAATTTCATAAGTTTTGAACAATCCTACAGATGCAACTTTCACATTGAATATAGTCCTTACACTAAAGGGATTTATTTATGAGAAGTGGAACAGCTGAATTAAGTATTAACAGTAAAGGACTAACAGAGCATTCAGGTCAAACTCCAAACTTGAAGTTTTCCAACTCTGAACCCCACACTAAGCTTGCATTCTGTCTTTCTAATGCGGAGTCAAACCCTCATGCTAAAGTTTTCTAGGAGAAACTATCCCCTACTCATTAACAAGCACAGATTTTCCAGAAATACTGGACAGGGGTTTCACTGATCATTTAATGTCAAGGATGTAAAATTCCTTTTGGAGTACTAGAAGTCTTGAATGAACACACAGAAGATAAGAGTTCAAGAACACTAAACAACAGTAAATATCCCAATACAGATATTAATTCATCACATACTTTTTCTACACCTTTTTTTCTTTCTGTTTTTGCTGTCCCTCAGTTCGCATACCAGTAACTGGATAAACTAGGCAGGGCCTGGATTACTTCCTGCTTTGTTAACCATATATAAACAATTTTCCAAGTCAGGAAAAGAAATATTTAAATAACATGCAACTTGCTAAAAAAGAGGTCTCTGTACTGCAGAAAATATTTTAACTAACTTCAGCAAATCTTGGATTATCATACAAAAATAAGTGGGCAACCATATCCTGAGTGTCTTTTACCTTTGTCCTCTTTCTTAAATTCACACAGTTTCATGTGCTTCCTTCTATACAGAGATTTTTTAATAAGGAAACAATTGTTTACTATGTAAACAAGTGAAAACTAAATACAAATTGAAACAATTTGATGGCAAACAAAGTAAAGCACTCTGTAAAAATGTTTCTTATGCAGACAGGACAGATTAGAAATAAGAATGAAAACTTGGTCAACTCAGGACCAGTCCAGCAGCTTACACTGTGACTGATGAATGGAATTTCCTGTGGAACAACACTAAGCAGTGACAGCAAAAACTACGTAGTCCAAAAAGTTTTATTACTTTCAACTATTGGGTGAAGAAATACCTTCTTTTAAGAATCCTTTTCTTGATTAAAAAGAATCGGAGATCCTGGAATTTAGTTTAGATGGAGCAAGTTACATCATTTCAGTTTATTTTAGGACTCTGCATAAACAGTTGATGCTTTCCTGATGTTTAACAACTGTCACAGCCAAGGATTGTTAACAACCATAACATCTTGTTAACATCAAAATATGAATTTCACATAAGGGATTCCTGCATCTACAAACAACTGCAGTTAAATTACAGAATCTTGCCCATTAACATATACAAAAAAAATTGTTTTTAAGAGTACCAAGCACTAATTCTACTCTATCTCTTCAGAATTTGGACACTAGTGGACAACTCTTGCTGCTAAGACCATCCTTTGATATGAGTTTTGGCAATATAATATTCAGACTCTTAGCTCAACTAAGGGATGTTCCAGTATGGAAATTTCACATGAAGGACTCAAATTAAGAATGTTTACCTCAACATTTCCCAAAGAAAATGAACAGATTGTTTTAGTCCTAGTATTTTTACCAATATTAAAGCAGTCAAGGATCAGCCTTCTCATAAGAATAATCAAATAATGAAAGTTCTTTGTAGAAAAAACATAAACTCTTTATAGGTTGGCATGAGAAAAATGTAATTGTGTGCAATTATACAAAACAAGTGTTTTGTGAAACTTAAGTCTCTTCTAATTTCCCCCGGGGCAAAAAACAACCAATCCAAAAAAACACACACACAAAAAAAATCCAACCCCCTCAGTAGCAGTATAAAGGATGGACTGAAGAGAAAAGTTGTGATCCACTACCCCAGTGAGTTTGGAGCACAGTCCATTTTGGGAAACAGCATTGTTCAGTCAACACCCACTGAAGTATTTTAGTTCTCTTTTTACAAAACAGTCAGCCCACATACACACCTATGCACACTCTCTCCCCTCCAACATTCCTTCTTGAAAAGAGGCAAGCAATTATTGTAAAAATGCCATATAATACGGTTGAAGTAACAGGTATGAATGAACCCAAGATAAAGATACGGTTCCAGCACTACTCAGCTTAAAGAAACCACAATTTACAACTTAAAGACAGTCACGTTAGTCTCACAAGTACACATTGATGAGTAGAGATTTAATTTGTCTCATACCTTGCTAGTAGATGCCTTGTAAGTTGTCTTTAATTTCTGAGAAAGCTGACTGGTACTATGACTGGCTGTTGAGACAAATAAATTCAAAGGCAGATATTTCAAATACAGCATTAGCTTGTTTAAGTAACTGGTATTAATTCCCTTCAATAACATTATAAGTTTTGGCCAGCAAAGTATAAAAAGTGAAGTTAAAAATAGTGGTTAAGATTCTTTGTGGCTCTCTTACCTTTTGTTTTCAGCTGTCCTTTGCTCAGTTCAGCTCCATCAATTGTCTGTCCTTCACCTGCTAAACGCTCATTCAGTGTATCGATCTCTCTACGCACTAACAGAACCAAAAATTCACATTATTACTAAAAATTAAGTATCATTAACAACATCATTACCATACTATTTAAGAATTGTTATGGTCAGTAAGTAATCTATTTTATGCTAAGGAAAGGAAAAGAGATCAACTGCAATTTTATAAAAGCAGGTCTCACCAAGACCCATGCTGAACTTTCCAGAGATCAACCCTGACCCAGATTCCAAGGAAAGTATGGGTGGCTTCTAATTACTCTCACTAATAAATGAGGCTAAGGATTAACAAAACAGCTTCTGTGAAATGCATGGCACATCTGTATTGAATTAAATCCAACAGAAGAAAACTTGCAGCATCATAAATATTTCAGCCACAGAATTAGTATTCCTTTCTCCACAAAGGTTTTATTCATCACCAAATAGCATCCCCCCTGAATGCCTGCCCACTATTAGTTTCACAGGAAAGGTAGTGCACCAAATGGATATTGTTTGTACTTTGAAATATATTTTTTAAAAGTGTAGAATGGAACATACATTTTACATGCAACTGTTTTAGAAACACTAAATAAGATAAAAATATTTTCATTGCACGTCAGACAAAGCATGTATATGTAACAAGATTACACTTTTCGTCAATTATGAGTTTCACCGGTGCCATTTTAACACAAGACAGAATGATGGCATCGATGAACAAATCAGATACTCATAAATGATCTCCAGTGGCTGGGCTGGCTTAAAGTTGCTCAACTTCATTTTATAGGAACATTTTCGGTGGCTTAAAGATTTTTTTCTCAAAATCTGGGCTGATCTTTTAAGTGTTCCCCTCACGTGAAATCTTATTGAGAGGCTTTAACCATGCATTTTTTTGCTGCACCTGAGAAGAAATCTAGGCCTGTCTTTCACAAACTCTTTGAACTTCTTTTAAAAAAATCATTCACTCCCAGGTTTGGAAACATGGGAGAATGTGACAGAGCAGCAGTATGACTCTTGCCATTCTGAGAATTTCACTGAATTCTCAGTTCTAAGCACTATAAAAGCCAGTTTATATTTCCATACCACACTCAAGTACTTGAAATAAGCAAGGCAAGATTCTCTTTCCTGTCTTCCTACTCACATAGGTCCAAACTTTTATGAACCATAAAAAATGTGAAAGAGAAGTAAACAAAGAGAGAGGCTTGTAATTACATATGACTGAAACAAGCAGGTAGATACAAGAATTGCCTGAAAGGACTAAGACTGAGGTCTGGAAGGGATTAAGAAAAGGAAAAAAATAGAAATAAGTTGCCCTAAGGGAAAGGGACTGTACAGTTTTTCTTTGTACAGTAACTGCAACACTAGTACAAAAAATAACAGACTGAACATGAGAAGAAAAAATTTTAGAATTGTCAGAGGGGTATAAAAAGATCACAAAGGCCAGGAGTGAACTAGAACTGTGAGGCAGAGAAAGAAGATGAAGAAACAGAAACAGAATAGAAGAAAAATAATCATACTCTGGGGACTACAAATCCACCACTTGTTTTCTGACAAGCATTTCTGAAAGTTGGGCAAGGAAACCCTGCTTTCCTTGCTACTAGGCAACTTCTCAGCAGGGGGCTGAGAATTCAGTTGTGCAGATTGTCACTAAAAAATGTGTACTTTGATAATACCCTTTAACCAACACAATCTCAGGTTTTAAGAGAATTAAAAAACAGCACATTTTGAATAGGCAAGAATAGCCTTTTTTTTTTTTAACACGAGTGTTTGGTTTAACTGTGGGAACAGATTAGGTGTGGAAAAAAAAATTGACTTGGAGCCAAATCAGACAGATTCCACAATTCAGAAGCCAAGCTATGCAACACAGCTTCCAAAATCCAGCAAGGGAAATTGAGCAGAGGCTTTACTGTATTACTGTACAGGCTTGTGTTACTTAACTTTGGATCCTCTTACATCACCTTGGATCACCTACACTATCAGACAACTGCACTGTCATTAAACAAATAACACCTGGAGTTTTTATCTGAGTGCTTGACTTCAAAACTCATGAACAGCTGCAGGAGCTGGTTATGCAATGTATAAGTAGGATGATACAAACCCACCCCAGCATACACTTTTTCCAGCAAGTCGCCTTTCCAATTTTATTTACTAATCTTACATCATTAACTGTAAATATGGAACAAAGCCACAAACTTCAAAGGCAATGGAGTTTCTGCCACGTTAACATGGTATCCACCAGAGCCTACAATGACAAGGAGAGAGACCCTTCGCTGGCTTTGCCCAAGAGTCAAGAGGGATGACACACATGAGTTCTCTCTGCTTGCGCCAAGGACTAAGAAAGCAATTTTTCTGAAAAGGTACAAACTCCATCTTCAGCTACAAGTTCAAAACAATTCTTAAACTCCCCACAGAAAAGCAATGCTAATTGCACTACAATACGCAAGGTAAAGCTTTAATTAGTGCTACTATGTCTTAAATCCAAACAATCCATAAGTTGCCAGAAAAAATAGATACTCACATTCCAAATTTTCAATATACAGGTTTTCAAATTCCCGTTCTATTTGTCCAAAAAGTTCAAGGAGTGTATTCCGCACAGAAGATGGTAGCTTAGAATCCTAGGAGGCAAAATATTGGGGTTTATAATTTTCTTTACATATATTTTATATAAATTGTTCTTCAATCTTAAACTGATTTTAACAGTTCTCTCCATGTCCCAGCAAGAAATTAGAACTACTGCTAGAGTAGAATACAAAACATAAGATTATGTGCATCATAAGATTATTCAGTTTACATATTTTTTCTCTTTCAAGGGACAGAATTCAAATCACCCATAGGTTTTGGGGATTTTTACCTAGAGAAAAATTACAAAACCAAGATATATACACATTTCATTTAAAAAAATAAAAGGTGGAAGAAAAGATTCAATATACTGTCAAGGTTTCCAGTTCAAGAAGAAAAAATACTTTTGATTAGCAAAGTAATTCAGAAGCTGACTATGCAGTAAGTTAGGAAGTTGTCAATGCAACACACCAAAGCTTGAGACAAACTAACCTTTTAAATGTATTTTTAACATTTACCTACTTTTGTCACTAACCATAGCCAAGTGTGAAGAAAACTGCAATTTCTAATCCTTCCCTCCCAAGATACTACTCAAGCATCTCTTCTTCACAGAAAGTATTTTGAAGCACATTCACAGAACAGGGTTTATTTGTTTTCTTCAGCATAACAGCACAGCAATTCCAAGGTACAAAAAACAAGTATGTAATAAAAACTAACACATGATCTGAGCTCACCATGTTAAAAAATTCTACTAAACCTGTTCTATTCTTCAGTTGCCTGTAGATCACAATACAGAAGTTGTCTTACTACACTTATTATTTACCCAGGTACCCAGCTATAAGCTTTTTCGAAAAGAAGTTTTCACTTTACAGAGCCTCACCCTTACAGTGAAAAAGCTCAACTTCTCCTTTGTAGCAATCTAACCCATTATCTCCAAATTAAGTAAGACAACAGCTTTTTACTGGCCAAACCTGTAAATAATACAGCTGTATTCAAAAACCAAGAAATACATATGTAAGGAAGTAAGTTAAAGAATTTAAAAGTGAATTTAATATGGCACTCTATATTATCAATATATCAATGGCCACCTATCAAATATGCACGGAATGTGCCCATCAGTAACATCTACTTGCTGGAGAGCAAAAGTATGTCATTTCAAACTCTTGAAATCATCAGCTATGAGCAAAAAAAGAAAACTGAGTCAGTTTCTGGCACAGCACAAACTACTCTAAGTCCAGAAGTACAGAAGGAGCATTACTAGAACGGGAGTACCAGTGTTAGCAGAGGATACCACCCAATTTCAAGAGAGCTTCCTGATTCAATGCAAGCTCAAGGATGATTATAGCTTGTTTTGTTCTTCAATGTTCCAGCAATTCCAAAGCAAATGGAATTGGCTCCAATCCTATGTGACTGAATTGGAATGCGTGCACATTCCAGTCATCAGAGAGCGGCAGCGGACCCTCCGGAATTCCATCCCACCCATACCTTCCTCCATAGCCCAGGTAATTCTCCTCAGGAACAGCCAGAAAGGCCTTTCATGATCCCGATTTTATACGTTATTTCTGAACAGAAACTACTAACAGCCACGGCACAGAAGACACTTGCTTTGTGCACAGTTCAGTTTTACACCAGTTTTGCAGCTGGTTTAAGCCGCGGCACTGGGCTGAAAGAAGTGGTACCACACTCCTTATGCCCCCTAGGTCATTCCTTTCTGCATCTTCATCTGCCTCGCCCTTGAGAAGGTAATTTTGTTCACACATTTATAGACAATGAGAATACAAAACATACCCAAATTAAAACCAACTTGAAACAAAATTGTTCAAATACTAAACAAATGAAACGCTACTAAGAGAAACACTTAAATTAGAGGAATTGTTTCTAATTCAATAACCCAATAATTTCATACATCAAGGTTATGACAGAAACTAACTTTTCCTACAACTTTGGAAACCGAAAAGGAGATGTAGAAAAGGTTTTCAATCCTATTCTCGAAGTCTGAAAGCATAAGCAAATCTAAACTTGTAATGAAATAACCAGCATAGTCAAATGCATCCACTTCCTTTATTCTCTTTAAAGTTGGCATTATTTAAATTAGCTTATTAAAATAGCATGTAATAATGTTATCTGTTTATCTGCAAAAGCACTTAGCTAGATCTCATGCAGTTTACAGCTCCACTGTGAAGGGGCATTAATACTCTACTTGTTAGAATCTGCCACTGGCTGTTCAAGGTCAATGAAATTAAAGATGATAGATAAAACATTTAAAACAAATATGTATTACTTAGAGTTTGCTAAGAAATACTAAAATAGCTTAAAATTTTAGTGTACTAGCCAGAAGCGACAGCTCTCAGCTGCCATTCATTCCTTTCCTAAAGCAAGGTTGCCATAGGTCCCAAATGCATGAACGGTTTTCTATCCAAGTACTTGCATTCTCAAATCTCCAGATGACTGGAAGCAACAACTTGGGCTCTGTTAGTTCCCAGAAAAATAATGCTATGATTTACTGAATAATAGATTCAACTAAAAAGAGTCACTGAGAAGACAGCCCATTTTCCCTTCAGAGGATCTGCAGACTCCAGAGTGAGGTTTCTCACAGCAAACACTATTAGTGTTTCAAACCATCTCTCTGATAGAGTTTTGCATCATCTTTGCCAGGCCCACATTAACATTGTGTACTTAGGTTGACAGTAAATAGTTTTCAAAGTGATACTTGCTTATCTTTGCCATCACTGTTTCACACCCTTCCGGCAGAAGCCTTACCTACAGTTAATCTCAGAATTGTTAGGTGGAACATTCCAAGTCCAGACTGCACCCACTACATACAGTGACGTGATTAAGAGAAGTTACAGAAGGTAGTGGGTGCTGTTCTTTCCCTTGAGTTTAATACACACAAGAGCACACCTTCATTTGAGACAAATAAAAAATAAACAAAGAAAAAGCCCTACTCAAACAAAAATCTGAGTTAGCTTACACCTCTGTCAAGCAGGCAATATTTGTTTGCTTTATGGAAAGGAATGCAGAACAGCATTCCAAATAATATTTTTCCATTAGAGTCGCCATAAGAATTATTTTGGTTTATTCATATTATTCCAAATTCAAACTTAGGAAATCAAGAAACAATCTTGAACTTTTTTGGGGGGGCATGGAAGGTTGCAGTGAAGTAAACAGGCTGTTTCTTTATATTGCTTTATGGTTTTATGTATTCATGGAAGAATACACACAAGCCCATAAAAAGGTTCAATCTCAACATAAACACCGTCAACATCCACATCAATGGTCTCCAAAAGCAGTGAGCGCTTATAAGCAACAAAATCTGCTGTTCCTGCAGCTTTACTGGACCTATTTAATTACTTAAGTTTGTTTATTTTCTCCCCACAGAAAACACACACTAAAGTTACAAAGTTGCCCAAGCAGCATCACCTTACCTGCCCTTCCAACATGTCTCTCTGCAGTCCTGCCCGTTCCTGCTCAGAACTGTTGGTTCTCCGGATGGAAAGACTGTGTGATTTACGTTTTTGCTTTGCTTGGCGAGCAGATGCACAACTTCCACTTTCTATTGGCATTACTTCAAAAAAACAGCTTCACAGAGGCTCCTATGATAAACTAAGGACAAGTATTACACATCACAAAGTGCTCTGCCAAACCAACCACAGTTCAAATTTTTTGTTCTCAAAATAGAAATATTTAGTTCTACTAAACTTTTGAGTTGTTTGGGTTGTCATCAAAAATAAGAGATCTCTCTTACTTACATTTATTCTTCAAACAACATTAAGTTCAAAACCATATGCAGACTCATAAATACAGTGGAATCACTTCTGCATTGCTTATTTGTTAGCTAACAAACCTCCACAAAAGGAAAAAAAATTCCACTTCCTTGCTCATTTTGGAGAACACCAGCAGAGAGAGCCCCAAAATGCTTCCAGGAAACAACCATTATGCATACTATAGTTCACTGAAATGCATGCAAAATTAAAACCCAGCTGGAAAATGAAAGCAAATAGACATGGTAATTTAGGGACACTGTCAGGTTAAAAATGTATTCTTCAACATTAGGTGTTACTATACAGAATTTAACAGACGTCCTTGTTTGCTCATAAACAAAAATTATTATTCATTATGGAAGTTCTGAAAACTACTTTCTGCCATTTTTGGCAGCTCTCGGTTTCACTTTCTTGATAGTGAAAGTGCCCATGAACTTACGAGAACAGTGAAAGTGCACCTGACTTAACAGGTTGCTGTTGATGTGGCTCATTTTTGTCACCTTGTTAAAGCCAAATATATGCATTTTATTATCCCTAAAAACATCTGACAGTATCACCAATCAATATTACCATGCATGATCTACTGCTGTCCCCTGTTTAAGAAAAATCAAATTATGTTTCATTTATTGCATAAACGTGGAGAATATGGTTTTTATTGTCAAAATCTTATTTTTTACAAACATTTAATTACAGGATTTTTTTTAATTTAAACCTGACGTTCAACAGAAATTAATTTTTGTTTCATGGGGTACCAGTTGTTAAACATTTCAAAAGTTTTAGGATTGATTACTCAAAATTTTTCAATCATGCAAACTGAGAACAAAATAAAAATTCATTCTCCAGCATAAATGATTTCTGAAACAACAATTACAACTGAAAATAGGTGCAACAGCCTGCAGAGAAATAGGAGAGCAGAGTTGGCAAAGCTAACAAGGCAACTGAGCTTCCCTTCAAATAAGTTGATCAGAGAAAATTTAAACCAAACCCAGGGCCAGTTCCAGTTTAAGATCCACCAACACGCTAGGAATGAGCACCATCACTATTAACAAGACCAGGCATTAACCAGTTTGGGGGTTTGACATGGTATTTTCTGCTTTTTAACAGATCATAAAGCCAAGGAAAAGCATACCTTACTAAAAAGGTAAGTATGCACCATGAATAAAAACAGCTTGAAATCTCCTTTGGGTTATACATCACAAAATGAAAATGCATGAAGATATAAAAATTTATATTAAGATGTAGGAAGATATAGAAATTTATATCAAAATGAGACTAGATTTAGTTAAGGTTTTGATGCCCATCCATCGTCATTAAAAAGCCTGATATTTTAATTAGCTTCTGGAACACCTGAATTCCAGTAACCTGACACCAATTCCACAGTGAATCTAAAATAAAATTCAGGTTGTACCAGTGACCTGTACTGCACTAAAATGATTTTGTTCCTTTCCTCTGGACTCTGCACAGTTCTTCACTGCACCTAATCCCATCAGAGTTTTTTATGTGTGATTAATCAGTAGTAACTAATTAGCTTTATTCACAAATTAAAGAATAATAGAAAGAACTACCATCGGGCAGCTTCTTATTTGCCTAGATTTCTTTATTCACTGTGGCTAGACTCCTCTATTGTAGAAAGACAGGACCAAAGTTAAAAAAGCTCATCTCATAAACATTTACTGCCAATTTTCTGGGCTTCACTAAGTATCTTCCTGTTCATGGACAGATGGTCAAGAATTAGGAACAGGTTTTCAGTGCTCATCACATTTCTATTTCTTTTCAAAATAGGATCAGATCCCAAACATATATTCTCCTCTCTTCCACCCTCCTTCCTATCTGCCTTGGGAACCTCTTTTTCAAGAGCTTTCAGTTATCATTTTCTGCAATGTTCAAGATTACTTTTTAAGGCCTAAAGCACTAAATTCTGCGTGCATACACAGAGGTTTGTTAAGAGTTTTATATCTATACATACACATAACTACACATAATCCCATAAACCCATTAACAGCATTTCACTTAAGATCTGGGGGGAAAAAAAGCCTATTTCTAATCCCTGCCAGATATGGCTCCTGAACTGCAATTATACATAGAGATGTTCATGTGAGTTATGCCTTACCAGGCATTGTTTTAACTTTGTTAGTTTCCACTTGCCCTCTCCATCAAGCTACTCCATTTTAAAGGATTTTACCAAGAAATATCCTTTTCTGGATTGCTTCATAAAATCATAAAATTATTCGGGTTGGAAGAGACCTTTAAAGGCCATCCAGTCCAACTCCTCTGCAATAAGCAGGGACATCTCCATTGGCATCAGGTTGCTTAACCCCATCTGGAATGTTTCCAGGGATGGGGCATCCACCACCTCTCTGGGCAACCTGTGCCCATGTTTCACCACTCTTACCATAAAAAATTCTTCCTTATATTTAATGTAAATCTACCTCCTTTTAAGTAGATTTACCATCATCCCTTGTTTTATCACTACAGGCCCTGGTAACAAGTCTCTCTCCATCTTTCTTAGAAGCTTCCTTTAACTATTGAAAGACTCCAATAAGGTCTCCCCAGAAAATCCTCTTTTCCAGGTTAAAAAACTCCAACCCTCTCAGCTTTTCTTCACAGGAAAGGTGTTCCAGCCCTCTGGTAATTGTTGTGGCTCTCCTCTGGACCAGTTCTAACAGATCCACGTCTTTCCTGTACCATTGCTTAGGACTGGCTTTCTGGGCTGCAAGCTCACATTGCTGCCTCATGTCCCATTTTTCATGCCCCCATATCCCTAGGTCCCTCTCTGCTGGACTGTTCTCTACCCATTCACCCTCCAGCCTACACTGATATTGGGGACTGCCCCAACCCAAGGTGCAGGACCTTGCTCTTGGTCCTGCTGAACTTCATCACACTCACACAGGCCCACTCCTCAAGCCTGTCATGGTCCCTCCGGGTGGTGTCCCTTCCCTCAAGGAATGAACTGCGCCACTCAACATCAGCACGTACAGATTTGGCAGCTATACATTTTAGCACGCAGAATTTAAAGGGACACAGTCAAATGCACAAGATTACATCTTTACATAGTGAAAATCTCACATTAACTACACAACAGTTTCTACTTTCACAGCTTGTGAGCAAACAGAACATTTTAGGCAGGACACACCTCCATCACTGTCTCTGTTTGGTAGCAGCACTTCACCTGCAGCCAGTGTCACTGCCAGGGACTGCCCTCTCCTCATGCACCAGCCCGACACATCCCTCATGCACCGTTCTGGAGAAAGCAAGCATGCACGCTGTTCCCGGGCTCGGCAGGAGGGTGCACACAGCCACAGCAAAGCTGAAACCAAAGAGGCCACAAGCATGTGCATACAGAGGATGGGAAGGAGACACCAAGGGGACCAGCTTCACTACCTTTAATATTGTCCTGAATTCCACCAAATAGCCTTACAAACTTTAGGTAAGGGAGCAATAATAAAGGGGTTTTAGGGCCAGGATGTAAATTAAGTTTAAAAAAAGTGACAGTGTCCCTTTAAATGTTAAGTTCACTTTGACAATTTCAGAACTATTTTGACTCTAATTGTAACAGTGAAAAGCTATAGGTTTTTCAAGAGCAGATTTCACAAAACAGATCCTTGGCAATATGATGCTAAAAAAAAATAAGGTGCTCATTTCTAGCAGTTACCTGATTCCCCTTATTATGTAAGGTTTTCAAACAATGAAAATTACCTGTCCAGAATATCAGTGTCATGTTACATATCCTATGAAAACCATATTAAATATTGATTAGTAAAACAGTCAGCAGTATACAAACCAGTCACAGTCTTTCAATTTCTTTAAACTTTTGTAGTTAGAACACGCCAGACGACAGGAAAGGGGGCAAGGGAAAACATCAGCTCAAGTCTAAGCACCAAATCCCAGTCAAACAAAACAAGAAAAAAATGCTTCAAAACAACTAATTGTATATTATTAGTCAGATGTAGTTAATCATGACATTTAAGTGTTCCAAATGGGTCCTGCAAAGAAAATTTCACTAAATTCACTTTCCTTTTCTACTTAGTAATACTACAAATAGGATGGAAAAATCATCAAGAATTGTTGGAATCTTCTTTCCTGAATCAAACGAAGCTGAATTCACAAAAGCTAAAAATTAGCAATCAAGAGTAAAAAAAGCTGAACAAAAGTACTTTCTGAGAAATAAAAAGGGGAGGGAGTGTTTAGTATTGCTAAACTATATTCATTAAGGGTGGCAGTTCACAAGTACTATATTATTAAAAAGTGAGCTTATGAGACATATTTTTGGAAAATGCATTTTCATTTTGGAAAATGCTACATTTGCATAGTGTTCCTCACACAATGATCTGTCGAAGTCTTGAGAGAACCTTTCTGATAAAGTCAATCAGAACAAGTAGGGGAGAAAAAGATGTCCTGGAAAACATCTAGACCACAGGTGATTACTACTTGCTGAATGCAAAGATATTTCAGTATTTCAGACATGCTGTTCAATTAAACTCACAAGATATGTTACAGTGTGTTAAATTAAAGTTCCGCCACCTACCTTTCTGTAACAGATGTTACCATGTATTCAGTCACAGGAAATACTTCAGAGTAACAACAGCTAAGAGCAGATGTGTATCCAATTACTGTTTTAGTCAGCTACAACAGAGAAACGGCACTAACGAAAAGTGCACACACTGGCCTTACCAGACTTAAAAATTTACTGCAGGAATCAACTAATTCTACTTGCTTACTTCTGCTCTTGAACACAGAACAGGCTAACTGCTGAAAGGAAAGAATTCCTGGGGTATGCATGTTGCTGAAGCCAGGGAGAAAATATGTTTTAAGATCTGTCAGAGCACAGACATAACAGCCACAGTATTGCATTTCCTTTTTTGTTCATTCAAGACAACACACAAGTCTGTAAAGGGAAAAGCATCAGGAAGTTTCAGCAACATCTTACCCAAGATCTCCCTACTCCATTTCGTTTAGAGTTTAGAAATAGCAATACTTACTATTTAAATGATTGTGGCAAAATTAAAAAAAAAAACATACAATTTTATTGTATCTGTGTGCTTTTAAATCTCTTGGTCTCATGTCTCTCATTTTCAAACATGGCTTAGAAGAAAATTTCACTGTTTACTACATAAAACACAAAGGCATTTTTGCAATAGTAATTATTGTCTAGTGCAGCATTAAAACCTTATGATACAAAGATGCCCATTAACATCGGGCATGGCGGTTGGTTTGGGGTTTTTTCCAGAAAGTGGGGAGGGAAAGGAGAAAGAGGAGAATGATTACAGTTATTAAGTTCCTAATTACATGTAACTCAGTTTGACAGCATTATTCATGAGTTAAGGGAATTTAAGTATCAGCATATGCCACTACAATCTTTATTAATATGCAAAGAAATCAAATTTAAAGGAGTAAAACTTCCATTTTGTGGTCTTCAGTGAACAATTTCCTTCAGTGATGCTGCACATTCAAGTGCCATTAATTCAATGCAAGCCCCAAGAATACAGCACACCTGAGAAAGATCAAGCTAAACAGACTGCTTTGTAAGACTGGTTGTTTGGCTAAAGGTAAATATTTAGGAAACAAAACCATTCCAGATCATCACACATGATGCTGGAACCACTAATGAGCGTACTCAAACCTTGTGGAATGCACTCAAGCATTACATTATTGATTTTTTTTCTAAATTTAGTGCAGCATTCTTTCAAATGAAACTGGAGGTTCCTCGAAATGTAAACATCCACCACTGAAGATGACAACCTCCTTTCAACAGAAAATAGAGTAAAGAAGCTGAACCAATGAATTGTAAGTACTTTATACAGCTGAAATCAACAACAAAAGCTTTAACACATTAGTAAGTACCTACCCTAAGCAAGCTTCTAACACCAACACTGACATGTAAGCCAGCCCAGTTTTGCTGCTATCAAGCTTTGATCTTGCTAATTCAACTATGTCAGCAAATGCTGCAATCATACCAAAATGCAGACCTAGGCTGCCATGCAGTCAACTAAAGCAAGAAATGGTACTCTCACCATACAAGCTTATATTAACTAGTATTAGACAACTATAACTATCAAACTTGCATTTTTTATTTCTTTTTTTAGAATGCAGAAGAAATTTTCCTGAGTCCACTAATTATCATCAGACTAAGACCTATTTAATGAAATTGCTGATGTCCTGAAAGCTTCTCTTTGAGACCTGTGTCACTATGCTCACTGAGGGTGCTCACTGTTTCAAATCCTTTAAATGGTACAGGGTATGATATAATCTTATTCAACACTAATTACTTACCTGTGAGTATATATCCTGCCTTTTTTATTTATAGGTATTGACTCACTGACTTTATTGAAGAGTTCAACAGACAGCATCACGTCCTGCTAAACTACTGGTTAAATCCTAAAATATGTTTGAAGGCTACTCTATTTCCTTACCTGTTTCACAGCCATTTCAACTCCCATTTCTGTATTACCAAATCCCCAACAGCCTAAAAGTAGCCTACATGCATACATGGGTATGCAAATACAAGACCTGAGGGTGAGGAATCTTAAGTTCAAGAGCAAAGGCGGTTTAACCAGGTATTTATTTAAGGAACCACAGCACCACACTCAGAGGCCAGAATCTTATTGTGCCAGTCTCTAAACACTCAATATTTATGTACTTATTAGAGATGTACCAGATAAATTGCTATTATAGTTTTATTGAAGCAGAGTGACCTCTAATATCTTTGCTCTTCATTTGGGAATATATTACTTGCCAGTAAATTAGAATCTTATAGTGCTTAAGACTTCAACAAAAGCCAAGTAACTTTAACTATAACACATTTAGCTGTTCTGAAGCACCAATAAATAATCTCTGTACAGCACATTCTTGAAGCATTACCTCATATGGCCTAGCACAGAGAACTACAGAACCTTCCAACAGTCTGTGTGACAGCATTGTGAGTACCCAGTCCTACCCTCTTGAAACACTAAGACAGCCTAAAAATAGCCTGTGTGTATTACTCGAGGATGAGAAAACACAAATCACTCTGGCTTGCAAGGAGACCATCCTTATTCTTATCCATTCCTCAGTGGTCATGCAGAGAGTACCAATAAACTCTCCCCAGAGAGGTGTGAAAAGGTGGTCTCCAGAAGAAGCCCCTCACCCTAGCCTTCACCTCACAAGACGAGCTACTAGTCTTAGCTCCAAGACTTAAAATTCCATGACATAAAATGACTCCAATCTCACCTCAAACTTATAAAATGCAATATCACTTAATTACTCCTTACCTGGCATGCACTAGTTCTGGCTTGCAATTTCAGGATTTCATAAAAATAAGCTCTTCTTGTAAGACATTATCACCACACTCACAGTATTTATCTTATGACTGTACCAATAAACTTAAGTGTTTCAGTCCATACTAAAGACTGCATCCTTTAAACAAACCCTATATTTAAGAAACAGATGGTGGAAGGGCCTGTCTACATTGAAGAGACAATCTCATCTTAGAATCTTTAGATTTAACATGATAAACCTAATTTAGGGACAAACGTACACATTAACAACTAGCATTAAAAAACAAACAACATCACAGTGGCCTCTGCCTTAAATTATAATGTTTGGTGCAGGCACCTTTTCTTAAAATAATTGCCCAAGTCCACAATACATAAAGCTACGTTTAAAGTTATTACCAGACAGGTTAGAGTTGACACCACGCACAAAGATCTTATCTAAGCCAAATTACTCATTAGAAAACATACTTGTGGGTTCTTGGGTTACCAACTCGTTTTCAAAACCATCAAGAAACGCCAGCAGCAGGCTTGCTTGGAAAACAGTTTCAGAAATTTGCTTAAGGAGAAAATACTGCTGTGATGTTGTAAAATGCCTGAACAATTGACATTTGTATAATTTCAAGGTATACTCAATGACACTGAATCACTTCAAAGAAGCTGTTCCACCAGTTCTTTAAGTAAACCTTCCATGAAATTACTATTACAGAAAGCCCACTTTAAGCCACAAAAACAAAACAAATTTGACAAGCTGGAAGATGTACCAAGAGGGATAAAAACACATGTAAAAGTTTCTCTTTTCTTAAAAACACCAAGATGTCCTTGAATCACAGATCAACGCTTAACTTGAAAAAGTTTTCCTCGTCTTTGCATAAGGAACTGGAACCTAACATCTACTCAAGCTTTGAATACATTAAGCATATCAATTCTTCCCTCAAACTTGTTTTCATAGGTCTTAGCTGAGAAAAAGAGAGAAATACTGAAAATGGCTCTTTACAGACGACTTCTACCCATCTTGGACAGTTCTAGGTCATTCTCCCGCTGCTGGAGGCCAGATCCACCCCATCCCACCACAAACGGCACTTCCTTCCTCAGTCAGCTGTACCCCACTTCAGGGAATTTGGGCGTTTCATCTTTACTCCATCTGTACATGTGTCAGAGGCTCTGAACTCAATCTGTAAGATAACGAGGCACTACGCTGGGCTTGTCCTTAGGATATGCAGCAGCACACGAACAAAGTTAGCGAGCCGAGTCTCCTCAGCACCACCCTCGGCTCCACCGTCCGCAGACCTGGAACCATCCCTACAGCCCTGGGCTGGGAGCGCTAAAACACCTCGACACCCGGGAGCAGAAGAGGAAGGGCTCGTTTTCGGTTATTTCTGTTTTCAAGGAATACCGTGCGAGCCATTTCACGCGGAACTGAAGCGGAGCGGGGCGGGCTGGCAGGGGGTGCTCGGGGGGGGAGCCCCGCGGGCCTGGGCGGCGGCAGCGGCACCGCGCAGGTACCGCCGCGGAGGCACCGCCGCTGCCCCCGGACCGCGCCCGGACCCCCGGGCCCCCTCAGCCCCTCGGGCGGCCGCGAAGATGGCGGAGGGTCCGCGCCCCGCTGCCCCCGCACTCACCTGTCAGACACGGCCGGGTCAGACACGGCGGGCGCGGAGGAGCAGGGCCGCGGGCGGCGCGGAGCAGGAGGAGGGGGAGGATGAGGACGGCGAGGAGGAGGAGAAGGGCGGGAGGTGCAGCAGCGGCGGCGGCGGCAGCAGCAGCAACAGCAACGATCCCGACGCCGCTCGGGCAGGACGCGCCTCCCCGGTGCGGAGCCCTTAAGGCGACATCCGGCGGAAGCGGCGCGGCCCCCGCTCCGGGCCGCGATGGCGACGGGCAGGGACTGGGGGAGCCACCCGAGATAGGGAATGGCACTGGGCCCGGGAGAGCCTCCCGCTGGGGGAGCAGCCCGCGGGATCGGGATGGCAGCGGGCAGGAGCTGCCCCGCCGCCGCCCCGCGGCTCATCCCCGCTGACCCAGGTCAGCCCGGGGTCAGCTCAGTGCTGGTGTTTGAACAGCTCAGTTGTGTTTCATCCCGACTGTCGCCTCTCGGGGGTAACGCTGTGTTACGCTCTACAACTCCCTGAAAGGAGGTTGTAGCCAGGTGGGTCGGTGGGGTCGGTCTCTTCTCCCAGGCAACCAGCGACAACAACCAGCGACAGGACAAGAGAGCGCGGTCTTAGGCTGCGCCAGGGGAGGTTTAGTTTGGATATTCGGAAGAATTTCTCTACAGAAGGGTGCTCAGACATTGGAATGGGCTGCCCAGGGAGGTGGTGAAGTCACCGTCCCTGGAAGTGTTTAAGAAGAGACCGGATGTGGCACTCAGTGTCATGGTCTAGTTGACAAGGTGGTGTTGGGTCACAGGTTGGACTTGATGATCTCAGCGGTCTTTTCCAACCTAGTTGATTCTGTGATTTACTGTTTACTGTTAACACTGTTTTAGTACATCCAGTAACACGGGGGGGGGAGGTGAAACTTCCATGAAACACCACTGGAATTCCATATTTTTTAATAGAGAATGGCTGGGAAATACTGCTTCTGGACTTTCTCTACTGCGTCTGCAGACTGTACGACAGAAGCAGTGTATCAAAGCTAGCCATGATTTGCAAGTAGGCT